AAAACTCCACATTTTTGAGCCTGTGCTGGTGAAAAACATTCTACTAAGATGTCGACATGACGACGCGCGCTCAAACCAGTGTAGGTGTTCAAGTAGAAAACAACCTGCCAATAGAATCATTAAATGGAAGCCTATCAGCGAAAGAATAGCAATCCTCCGACTAAAATTACAACAAGCTAAACCGGTGACCTTGTTAGAGACCAATTTATAGGAAGGATAAGACTTCTTCCTTGAGGAAGTGGAATGTGCTCTGTACGATATGTCGACTATGGAGTCTCTCATTTTAATGGGCGATTTTAATGAGCATGTTGGAGCAAGCACTGAAAAGTGGAAAGGCGTGATTGTAAAGAACGCATATAGCAACCGCAATGAAAACGATTTAAAGTAGTTATGGTTTTGTGCAAGCAGCGAACTGTCCATTATGAACACTTGCGTCAAGCATCGAAGCTTACTTGGTGCTGGGAAACTTGTTAGCTAAGGTCGATAATTTATTCGATGATCACATAGGCTAATTGATTGTGAATTGTCGCGTTAAGAGAGGCGCAGAGCGGTCATTCGATCCCCACAATATTGTTGGCGCGCTACATTGTAACAAATGAAGTGCTATGATCTGATGGCATAAGTAACCGGAAAATCAAACAGGAAACAATATATCCCACAGATACGAGAGCGAAACTTGCAAACAACATCGCATGACGGTTTCAACAGATCTCGGTGATGACCACTGATATGGAAACTGAGATTGAGCTCTTTAAGACAGCGGCATACTCGAGGCTGATGGATTTAAATGCTGCGGATTTAAATGGTTGGCCTGCCACCTGGAAGTCAGAACAGATCTTCAAGGTAAACACGAGAGGTAGAACTGGCGGTTAAAGAGAAAAACGCAACACTTAAGAAATGTAGTGGAAGAAAAGAGCCCTCTACTCGCATGCGATATGCCGAACCGCACAAGGCGGCAGGGAAAACAGTACCGAAAGTCAAAGATGATTTCTGGGAGAAGTTCGGTGAAGTTGGAATCGAATTTTTACACGGCAAACAAAGTATTCTGGCAGACCATCCGCGGCTCCGAGGTGAAAAGACGGGTAGTCT